AGAGCAAGATTCTATCTCGAAAAAAAAAAAATCTTTTCTTTCTGCCCAAGTATGGTGGCTAACACCTGTAACCCTGTAATCTTAGCACTTTGGGAGGCCAGAGCAAGAGGATCGAGTGATGCTAGGAGTTTGAGACCAGCCTGAGCAACATAATGAGACATCATCTCTATAGAAAAATTTTAAAAATCAGCCAGACATGGTGTACACCTATAGTCCCAGCCATTTGGGTGACTGAGACAGGATGTTTACTGGAGCTCTGGAGTTTGAAATTGCAGTGAGCTATAATTCTCCCACTTCAATCTGTCCTGGGCCAACAGAGGGACACCCTGTTCAATCATCAATCATTGAGATTAGTTAACAAACATTTGTTTCTATTGAGAAGTGAACTTTTAAAGTTATGATTTGGGCTCAGCACCCCTAGCTCAGTGAGTGGGGTGCCAGTCACATACACCGAAGCTGGCGGGTTCGAGCCCAGCAGGTTTGAGCCCAGCCTGGGCCTGCTAAACAACAATGACAACTGCAACCAAAAAATAGCTGGGCATTGTGGTGTGCACCTGTAGTCCCAGCTACTTGGGAGGCTGAGGCAAGAGAATCATTTAAGCTCAAGAGTTTGAGGTTGCTGTGAGCTGTGATGCCACGGTACTCTACCGAGGGCAACATAGTGAGATACTGTCTCAAAAAAAAAATAAAAAGTTATGATTTGCCATGAAGTCCTTTGTGCAAAAATGGCTTTTATTCAGAGTGGGACAAATAATTTGCCATTAAAATACCTTTTATTAGCAATGGCTTTGTAAATTGGTATGTATGAGCTCAGATAATAGGTATAAAAAGGATTTTTAATTTATTGAAAGTTTTTTTAACTAGCATTTGTATTTTCTTTTTTTTGAGTCAAGGTCTCACTCTGTCACTCAGGCTAGAGCACAATAATGTGATCATAGCTCACTGGAACCTCAAACTCCTGGGCTTAAGTGATTCTCCTGCATTTATGTAACGTTCTTTTTTTTCTTTTTTATTAAATCATAACTGTGTGCATTAATGCCATCATGTGCTGGTTTTATATATAGTTTGAAATATTTTTATCAAACTGGTTAACATTGCCTTCATGGCATTTTCTTAGTTATTGTGTTAAGATATTTATATTCTACATTTAGCAAATTTCACATATACCCTTATAAGATGCACCGTAGGTGTGGTCCCACTGATTACCCTCCACCCATCCTCCCCTCCCTTGACCCATCTTCCCCCCTTCCCTCCCCTCCCTGTCCCCTTTCCCCATATTCTTGGGCTATAATTGGGTTATAGCTTTCATATGAAACTGTAGATTGGTTTCATTGTAGGGCTGAGTATTTATGTAACATTCTTAAAATGACAGCATTGTAGAAATAGAGAACAAGCTCACGTTTACCAGGGGTTAGGGATAAGGGAAGCTTCCCAAGTAGCTGAGACTACAGGCATGTGCCACCATGCCTAGCTAATGTTTCTATTTTAATAGAGGCAGGGTTTCGCTCTTGTTTAGGCTCGTCTTGAATCCTGAGCTCAAGCATCCCTCTGCCTTGGCCTCTCAGGGTGCTAGGAGTATAGGCCTGAGCCACCACACCAGCCTTGGGGCTTTCTATGTGCTTATTACCATACTGAAAATAAAGATGGGAAAAAGACATGATCAGCTGAACCTCAGTCCATTTCTCATGTAAACAGTCATAGGGTAGCTGTGGAGGTGTTTTTTAATTCTGTATTTCAAGTTTCAAGAGACTCAAAGATTCTGGTGTCTGGTTAGCCAGTGAACTTGGCTTTTAATAA